GAATCAAACTGTGTTCTGCAACTTTGAAAAGGATTGGAAGAATGGTTACCAAATCCTAGAACTGGTTGCCTAGTTTTTGTTTGGATCTGTTATGGGTATTATTATGGTGATAGGCAGTCTTAGCTATGATAACCCAGTTTGCTTCAGAATTCTTACATGGATATCAAATAGTTAAATGTATTTACAATAGCAATTATCTAAACTGTTGTGGTTCTAGGCAGACACATGCTCAATTATGGTTTTCTTTTCCTTTACCATGGTAAAAATATACTATCTAAATAGTTCAAGACTTGTTGTAAGATAGAGAATGACAACATGGTTTGTAGTGCATTTTCAAGGCCCATTTTGCTATAATCATATTTAATCATCAGAATTATTAATTAATCATCAAAATAACAGAAACGTACATCAAAGTGCAGCCCTCCGTATGTTGTTGGACTGCAGCTCCCATCAGCTATAGCTAGCATTTAGTGAGAAATAATGGGAGTTGTAATCAAACAACATCTGGAAGGCCACACTCAGATTAAGTCAGCAGATGGCATAGTGTAGCTTTCCAAATGATGTTGAATTACAACTCCCATTATGCCTGCAGTTTGTCAATACTTGTACAGTTGGCCTTCCTTATCCACAGATGTTTTTAATCCACAGATTTAATCATCCATGGCTTGAAAATATAAAATATATAAATTCTAAAAAGCAAATATGATTTTGTCATTTTGTATAAGAGACACCATGTTACTATGCCTTTGTATTTAATGGGACTTGAGCATTCATGGTTGGTATCCATAGGGGTCCTGGAACCAAACACCAGCAGACACCAAGTGCCCATTGTATTAGGACTAGAAATTGAGTCCACTTTAAGGGTTAGGGTTAGTGCTAGGGAATCATGGGAATTGTTTTTTTTTCTGAGACATTGAGCTTCTCTGTCAGAGAGCTCTGGTGCCACAATAAAATACAGTTCCCATGATTCCCTAACCCTAACTCTAACCCTTAAAGTGGACTCAATTTGCACTATTTCTAGCAGTCTGCAAAGGCCCTAAGTCAGTGGAGGGCAATTATGTAAAATATGAAGGCTTGCATACTTTAGTAGCATTTTCACTAATTCTAATAAAGATATTCATGATTTATAGATTTTTAAAAACCTTTTTGCTACTGCTACTGCTTCTATTTCCCCCCTTCAATGCTATGAAGGCTGATGTAACAAAGGAGTTATCTGCACTGCAGAAATAATCTGGTTTGACATCTCATTAACTACCACGGCTCAATGCTATGGAATTCTGGGAATTATAGTTTTTGTGGCACCAGAACCAAGCTCATTTTAACTAGTCCAGAGCTGTGCTCTGGTGCCACAATAAACTACAATTCCCAGAATTCCATGGCATTGTACTGTGGCAGTTAAAGTGGTGCCAAACCAGATTATTTCTGCAGTTAAAGTGGTGTCAAACCAGATTATTTCTGCAGTGTGGATGCATCCTATGAATGCTATGAAGGCTGGTGGCTGGCCAAGCCACCAGCTGTTACTCTACAACAAAGTTTGGAAAAACCTAGTTTCTTTGGCTAGAATTCCCACAGTCCCTCAACAAATATCACTAGTGGACTGGTTGTAGGATCAGGTGGCTGAACTCCCTAAAAAAATAACCTTTCCAAGTTCTGCTCCGCCATGGCTTTCTGCTTATTTCTTCTTGTAGTGCTTTACAGGCACTTATTTATCTTCAGAAGAATCCACGCCTCAAATCCACACCTAAATCATAGCAAAACACCAGTTATTTTTAAAGAAAAATCCTCCAGAAGAGAGCTAGTGCTAGAAAGTGCTAGCTCCAGTAACAAATAGCCCCCCCCCCAAAAGGATAGTAAAGAAAATACTGAGTCAGAACAATTGACCATGGAGGGAACAACAACCAACTAATCCAGGAAAATAAAGGGCATTATATTGTGAGAGTTCATGCTTTTTTAGACCAGTCTGGAAGCACCGCTGGTCAACAAGAACAATCCTCATTGCAGAAGTCGAATGAGGCTATGCCAACAGAAATAGGAATGTTGAATGATAATGACAGCAATTTAAACTGTGCTATCTATCAAAGGAGATTTTCATTCAAGGTGGAGGAAGGGTACAAGATGAAGTTGTAATAATTATTCTCTTTGCTACGTAGTACAAGAATGTCTTCATTCTTCTTAAAGCCAACCTATTGAATGACAGACTACAGTGGAAAGAGAAAAGCTTGATCCACAACTGGTCTAGGGAAAGAAAAAAGAGGTATTGTAACAGGGATGATAAACAAGACAACAGAGACTTTTTTTAAAAAAACTGTCAATTTCTTATAAAGAACAGAAATAAGTGGCTGGCCTAGTATAAATGAGATCGCACATATAGTGTAGGCAGAGCACAACTGATGTACACATGCAGCTCTGTAGCTTCTCTCCCTGGCAGCTACCAAGGCCTTTGGGCTGCTGCTATGGATGTGGAATGATTAATAATAATAATAATAACAATGTTTATTGATAATGCCCTTTCCACCAAAGGGGGGTACATCAGAACATACACAATAACAAGCACATGGTAAGACACCACACTATAAAATACTAAAATAATATACTAATATGCTAAAAACAAAACAAAACAAAATCCTCTTCAATCACTACCCAACTTGGCCACCTTAGGCATGCTCAGCAACTTAATCTGGCAAGTCAAAGAGGAAAGTCTTCAATCCTTTACGAAAGTGGATCAGATCCTTCTCCAGCCAGAGGTGGGAAGAAAGGCTGTTCCATAAATGTGAAGCCAGATCCTGAAAGGCTCGCAGCCTTGACAGAATCATACACGTTGGTGGAACTGCCAATAAGCCTTTGTCTGCAGTTCTTAAATTTCTACATGGTACAACCATGCTAGCTGAGCTGTCAAATATGGGGGGGGGGTTAAACCTCAGGATGGGATGCAGTGGCTCAAGTGGTTAAGATGCTGACTGTTATTGCAAGATTGGCAGGTTGGGAGTTCAAGGCCTGGGTGCTGCATGATGGGGTGAGCTCCTGTCACTAGTCCCAGCTTCTGCCAACCTAACAGTTTGAAAGCATGCAAATACAAGTTGATAAATAGGTACCACTTCAGTGGGAAGGTAAACAGCGTTCTGTGAAATCATGTTGTTGTCTCTGAGAATACTGGCTTTTTAGCTTAGTAATGCAGATGAGCACTGCCCCCTAGACGACTTGTATCAACTTTGTCAATGGGGAATACCTTTACTTTTTAAAGTGCAGGGCCTTAAATAGATAGGGGACTGAGCAACAAGGACTCCCTCTTATCTCCACTACAGTTCATACGGGATTGAGTTAGAAGAATGAAGTCATCATTCTTTATTCTTACTTTAGCAAATTGCAGCAGAGGGAGGATAAACAGAAACAGAAATATACAAGTACAAGAATTTAAATATATGTACAGAGAGACATTCATATCACAACAGTAATATAAACTGACAGCACTTACTAGCAATTGTTTGGTAACTGGAGGAGCCTACAGTTGGATGCAGTGTACACTTCTTCACATCCCATTGTGCCTAATGGTTATTGTTACAACCATGTCTGAATGTTGACATCATGAATATTCAGTAAAATGTGAAAGTTCTAGTTCTTAACCTATGAAAAACCTCAAAGTTACTTTCAAATATGCATGAAATCAGCAAGACATGCAACAATTCTCCCCTGATAGGTTGCATGGCACTATAACTTTTTAGAGGAGATTTTCACATGGCCAAAAGTGATGGGAGCATAGTAGGATGTTTCCATCACTATTGCACAATTGCATGAAGATTATCAGATGACGTCATGCAACATCATGATAATCATGACATTATCCAGCAAATAAAGAGGAATTCTAGTGCCACTTTTAATTCACAGGAAAGTCCTGTGAATTAAAAGCGGCACTAGAATTCCTCTTTATTCATGGGATAAAGACGCGATTATTGCAATGTTGTCTGATAATCTTTGCGCAATTGTTTGATAGTGACAGGAGCATCTTGCTATGCTCCTGTCACTTTTGGCTATGTGAAAATCTCCAGAGTTTTCCTTTTTAAATCATTTCTGAACATTGGTTGGTCACAAGGAAGAAGACAATTGAGTTTACGTTGAATTTACCCTGAATAAAAAGTGCCTTCCTGATATTAGAAAGGGAAGTTTTGAGATTGCATATTTGTGTGGCATTTTAATTCAATGAAAAATATCTGTGATGCAAGAGAATGTATGGCGACATTGCTGTGGTTGTCCTGTTTGTCGGAGACAATGCAGTGGCCCTCCCACGCCTGCTTCTCTGTTTTCAACTCACGTTAACTCATCCACCATCTTTTTCTTACCTTAAGCAGCTTCTTCCCAGCTTGGGCCCCATTTGGCATAATCCCCACTTTTCCTCCTCTGTACTCTCCCACGGCATCTCTCCCATGCTTCAGGCTTTCCTCAGACCACACTCATTGCTGCTCTACACCCTCCTTTGCTCACCTGCTGTTTCTAAAACTCTCTTGCTGTGATGCTAAAAAGGAAAATTAGTACAAGATTTCCCTCCTCTATTCTGGAATGTGGGTGAAGAAAGGAGGAAATGGGGTGACATCTATTAATTTTGTCCCACAAGGAAGCAAATAACCATAAAGCTTATTTGTATAAACAGAGCAGAGGTGGAGTCCCAGAAATGCAGAAGAAAAACTTGAAGGCAAATCCAGATGGACAGTTGTTTAGGACAAAGCCTGGATAATTTTTTACCCCCAAATAAAGCCACTAGTGATCTGTCAGGGAACCATATGGAGAAAGAATATGACATTTGGAGCTTTTTAGCTTAAGAAAAAGGACATTGCTTGGAAAGGGTATTCATTAAAAGGAATCGCTGCCATTATCTGATTCTCGGGGTTTTTCCCCATTACTATTACTTGTCAGCTTAGATTTATGGAGCACACTGGTGCAAAGTACCATTGTTCTTCCTCTGAGGCTAAGAGAATGTGACTTGCTCAAGTTCACCTAGCAGGTTTACATGGCTGAGCAGGGGTTCAAACCCTGTTGTCCAGAATCATAGTCCAGTGCTCAACCCACTGCGTTACACTGGCTCTCATCTCTACCTAGCTTTTAGAGCCTTATCACATTATAAAAGTAGGACAAGAGACAGCAAGATAGAAGCAGCTTTCTGCTTACCTCCCTGCATGACGTCGTAGCACTTCTGTTCTCTCTCCAGAAGGGAACAGTAACAAAAGCAGCTTCATCTATATACCGCTTCATACCGTGCTATGGGGTGTCTAAGCAGTTTACAACTGTCAGCTCATTGCCCCCCAACAGCTGGGTACTCATTTTAGCAACCTTGGAAGGATGCAGGCCTGAGTCTAGCCTGAGACCTGGCTAGTATTGAACTCGCAACCTTGTGGTCTAGGCATTTAACCACTGCACCACCAGGGTGTACCATTTGCAAAATGGATTTTTCCAGCATGACAAAAGATATGTTCTATGCCAGGGACCAGCAACCTACGGCCCGGGTGCTGGCTAAGGCCCCGGGCCCCAGACTTACCGGCCCAGGCCGTAGGTTGCCGCTGCCGCCGCTGCTCACCGCCGTTGGGGCGCGTTTTCAGCCTCACTTGCTGCGGCCGCCATTTTGGAAGTCAAAATGGCAGTCGCAACGCGTCTGCGCATGTGCAGTACTCTTGCGCTTGCGCAAACGCATCGCGGCCGCCATTTTGGACTTCCAAAATGGTGGCCGCGACATGTGCCGTGGCAGCTGTGGCTGTGTGTGCTACGTGACAGCCGCGGCGCTGCGGCAGAGCACGGGTTGTTGCGATGGCCGCGAACACGGGGGGGTGTGCGCGGTGGAGGAGGGATTATGCGCGCGCGTCGCCATTCCCTTCCCCCCTCGGCCCAGCCGAGACCTGGGCGACGGGAAACCGGCCCAGGTCTCAAAAAGGTTGCCTGTCCCTGTTCTATGCCATCATGAATAGAATGGAAGTGCTTTGAGGGCATGGAAAGAGGTAAACACAAAGCTACTTCTCTATCACTGTGCCTCAGCTTACCTTTTAATGCAATAAGGCTCTTACTATTCAGGGGGAAAAATGTCTTTGTGTTAAAGGCCAAATTAAGACAAAGTAGCAACTTTATTTTTGTCCAGGCAGGGCTACAGTTGAATATTAAAATAACCAATGTAATGACCACATATGATCTTTAGATATAAGCTTCAAAGTGTGTGATGAAAACATTGAAATACTTATAGATTATCTGTACCTCAGATCAGTCATTAATCAAAATGGAGACCACATTCAAGAAATCAGAAGATGGCTAAGATATGGAAAGGCAGCTATGAAGAAACTAGATAAGATCCTCATGAAAACATTCCCCAAGTGCAACAATATATCATTAAATACTCAAATTAGAATCATCCTTGCCATGGTATTTCCAGTTTCTATGTGTGGCTGTAAAAGTTGGACAGTGAAGAATGCTGAAAGGGAGAGAATCAACTCATTTAAAATGGGGTGCTGAAGGAGAGTTATACAGATACTATGGATGGTAAAAAAACAAAAAACAATACCAAATAAATGGGTCCTAATGCAAATCAGGCCCCAACTCTCACTAGAAACAAAAATGACTAAACTGACTGTTATCACACTACACTGTTATGGAGCTATATTCCACTTTAACTGCCATGGCAACATCCTATGGAATTCTGGGATTTGCAGTTTAGGGAGGTAGAACTCTCAACCAGAGAGCTCTTGGCCCGCATTAAACTGAAACCCCAGAATTCCACAGGATGTTGCCATGGTAGTTAAAGTGGAATATAGCATTATAACAATGTAGTGTGATGAGGCTCTATGGTTATTGTACTTTAGACATATCATATGATGACATGACTCATTGGAAAAGATAATAATACCAGGAAAAGTGAAAGGCAGTAAGAAAAGAGGAAAACCACTTTTCATATTATTAGATTAAATTAAGGAAGCCATGGGCCCGAGTCTGCAAGACCTGAGCAGGTCTGTTAATGACCAGTATTGCAAATCTCTCATTCATAGGATTGCCATAAATCAAAGTTGACATGACAGCAAAATACAAAAATTCTGAAATGTCTAGACTAGCAGTAGTCAGGTATTGGGGAAAAGTTGTGTTAGGGGCAGTTGCAGATCCCTTGAAATCATTCCTGATTTTCTCTTTTCATTGGAGGTACTAGATGACAAATCCAGCGTTTTCTAAATGGACAAGGAATGGAATAGATGGGAGAGGCTGTGCCCATTTTATCTTCAGCTTCATTCACTGTGAAGGTAATATAGAAAATTGGGTAACTCTACTACAAGATGAATACGCTGAATGGCCTTGTGGTGTCTTCCAACTCTGTGATTCTATGTTTCTAAGATGGAGAGGAGAAAAGGGCTCTTTTGTGGTCCAGAAGGGAAAAGTAAAGCTATTATTGATAGTGCCATCTTATATGTGCCTACTCTTCAGTAAGTCCCATTGACTTCAACAGGATTTAGTGTGTATAGGACTGCAGCCTGAAACACAATCACCTTGAATTTCAGTTTTGGAAGAAAATGTGGGATATAAATAAAGATGATAGAGATGGAAGGGAAGGAGGAAGAGGAAGAGGAGAAAGAAGTAGCTGATGAAGTAGCAGTAGAGGGAGAAGAAGAGAAGGAGGAAATGGAAGAGAGAGATGTAGTGGTGCCTCTGACAGCAATTCCAAATAAAGTGACAAAGCATCTGAATAAAACTGCCAAAGATAAGAACACAATACACTCGCCCCTCCATTTTTGCAGACTTGAGGTCCACGGTCTTGATTATTCACAGGGGGATGAGCTCAATTAAATTAAATAATGCAGGATCACACCGCCCTTCAAACCAATGAGGCTTGATTATTAGCAGGTTTCCATTTTCATGTGTATGTGTGTGAGGGGTGGGTGGGGGTGGTCCAGAATAGATCCCCCACAAAGACGGAGGGCTACTGTAGTACAGTTACAAAAAGTGGCATTATTGAAACATGCCACATTATCCTATTCGTAGATTCGATAGAATTTGAATCACACATGGTCTAAAGCTCCAATAAAATAACATAGGGTAGATTGCAAAACTAAGATGGAGGCATTGGTGGTGATGATGGTGATGATTATTAAGTCCTGGTAAGCAAGTTAAACGATGAAAAGTCCACTTCTACATAATGGTTTAACATACAGGTACAGTATGAATCACTTTGGGTCCCATATGGGAAAAAGTGGGAATCGCTTCTGATTCATGAGGGATCTGTTCCGGACCTCCCCATGAATCGGAAAAATCACAAATATTGGGGGGCCATTGTTTTTAATGGCTGTGCAGTACATGTCATTTTATACCTCCCTGCTTGCCGGTCTGCGAAGGACCGAGACCGTGGGCTCCAAGTCCATGAACGGGGAGGGACAAGTGTAGAAGCAAATTAAATATCTCTCCTGTATCCCACCTACCCAACACTTCAACAGTTAATCATCATTTTTTATCTTTCTTCTCTGTCTTGATCTTTTTCTTCTGCTGTGACAATCTTCTAAGAATAAAATGAGCAAAGTTAAGACTTATAAAAATATTTAAAAATATAATATTTCAGGAATAGACATTAGCAAGTTCATCCAAGAAACAATTTCAATGACCTAGTTTTACAAGAGTTGCTATAAGGACACAAGTAAACAAAAATGTCATTCTATGCCAGGTTGTAATGTTAGCATTCAATTCTTTTTTTTTAAATGCATCTGATGCCAAATAGGGGACAGGCCCTGAAAATAATTTGACCACTATTCAGCACAGAGCTCAATGTGCCTAAAATCCACTGATCTCTAAGGGATGTATCATAATAATACATTATTGCAGAGAGCACATTTTAGAAAAAAATATACATCTTTCTTCTAAGAATTTTTTTACAGCTTTCAAAAGTAAAACAGGACACTGGCACTTTATTTAGACAACCTATCGGGCTACAGTTTGGCATACTGCTCTGGATGTTAAAAAAGAAAACTGTTCTCATTGCTTCTGTATTTGGCTGCACAGTCGCTTGTCAGATTATTCTGAACACGTCTGGAAAAAGCTTCCATCTGCTGAAATGGAGCCAAAATATGCATACATATAGAAGCAAATGGCCAGTTGTAGCGTTTTTTGCCAGCAGCTTCCTTAGTCAAGCAAATCAAGTGCCACTATTATCAGCCCTAGAATCAGCTTGAGATTCTGCTGCCCTCTTAAAAAAATAATTCCCTGAGCTATGACACTGTAGTGGAAAATCCCCAGACTCTTACGTGGCTTGGGAGGGGAAGTAATAATTTACCTGTTGCAGTGTGTGCATCTGGGACTTGCCTTTCAACAGTGGCTTTCCAGTTATAGAAGCTTTGCTTTCCAGAATGTGTGACAAAGTTAGGAAAAACACGCAGAAAACTTTTAAAAAGCAGACTTGCAATATGCATGAGAATTTTTTCTTATGCTCATAGGGTTGTAGCTACAGGAAAGGGGAGCAAAATGCAGACTTTGCCCCTCTAAATGAGATTTCTGCCCCACCAATGAAATTTTCCTTTCTTTCCTTTCCTGAGATTTCTAGCATTATAGAGAGTGAAACACTGAAAATCATTCGCACCTGGAAATCTTGTGTTTTCTGGATTCACATTCTATTGGTCTCTTTGCCTACTCCTTTTGTTTGAATGCCTAAAAATATTTCTAATTGCTCAAGTGACATTTTAAGTTACTGCAATGCTAGAAATTTGGAGAGAGAGAAGGAAAATTCCATGTGTGTGCATCTGAGAATTCTATTTCCCCATAGCTAGCCTTATATCTCATCAATAACACTTGAAGGATATTTTTTTTCTCTAGTATTGTCACACAGTTTTAAAAAACTAGGCAAGAAATTACATCATCTATAGATGTAATCTTGTGTGTGTGTGCATAAAACAAATCTGCTGAAGGGAAAAAAATCTCATTTTTTTGTATGGTAGACCTATGGCAGCTGGCTCATTTATATTGTCACAAGAATATTTTTTTTTTTGAAGGAAGGATATGCCATTTCTAAAACTGTACCTATTACCACATTTACACATTGTATTAAAATAATTAAAATTTTAAAAATAACCTTCTG